TCCTGACCTCAGGTGATCCATCTACCTCAGCCTCCCAAAGTGCTGGGATTACAGGTGTGAGCCACCACACGCCCGGCCTACATGTGACTTTTGCTTAGTTTATTGACTGTGGCAAGCTACAGGCCCATGCCTGATTGAAAAAGGGGTAGGGAAGGCCCATCCTACCATTCCATAAAAAGGAGAAAGATTATTGGTGAAGAACACTAATTACTACCAAACTCTTCTTCCTCAATAAGGATCTTCTTGGACACCATTGTAGGAGTTGATTGTAGGCTAAAGACTCAGGATTCTATATCTCAGTCTGACACTGGCGCTTATCAGTGTCAGTAGGCCATATATAAAATATGTATTTTAAATCTTTACTAAATGCATGAAATACTTGCCAAATAAGGAGACGATCAATTTAAGGTGACTTATAGAGGGCATATCTTATATGAAGACAGCCAAACTGTTACCTTATATGACTGATGCCAAACTCTTGCTATTATACTACAATAAACACCCTGTTTATACATGTATACTTAGTTAATTTTGTCAGCTGAAAGAGTAATTTGATCACAGGGTCATTTATGCAGAGCCTTATGGTTTTAATTGGCTATTACAGTATGACCTTTTCATTTGCTGTCTTTATGCCTTTGGTAAACAGATATTAAGGGGCTTTATTAATTGGATTGATTTCAGGATTTAGAGTTTTCCCAGATTCTAACGATTTATCAAATAGCCCTGATTCAGTAACATGATGACTATCTATAATGTGGGTTACAGAGGTGATACCATGTTTTAACCTCTTTAAAAAGCTTGCTAAGAGTTCGTCAAAGTGAATAATTGTGATAAGCATATAGACTATGTTTTCACTTCCAGAGCATGTTTTATGTCCATCTGAGATATATAGAAATGGGAGAGAGGTGTTAGGGCAAGTGAAATTGTTACCCTTTTACAGATGACTGACTGCAGAACAAACAAGTGTCAGTGCCAGCCTCTTCTGCATTTGACCACAGTGACCATGGTTGCACTAAAAAAGACAAGAGAGAAAAGAAAAAAGATCCTATGACATGGCTAAGGCCATGTAAGTTTACTTTGATCACCTATACCAGAGTCCTCTTGCACACAGTTGAAACATACACCTCCCCTTTTCTTCTTTGAAAACCATGTGTTCTTCCTTCCCCTGCTGTGATCTCAGTGGATCTAGCTCACATGTGTTTAAGAAAGGTTTGTGGAGCTAGTTCATGGTTTATTATTTCAAATTAGAAAGGAACAGGGAACATCATACATAATCTATACGTTTTTATAAGGAGAAACCTTTTTTTTTTCCTGGTGAGGAAAAATACGGATCATATAATTTGGCTTTGTTGCTCAAAAACGATGTGGAAACTCCCCAGTGGTTCAGACTGGAAGAACTATGGGAAATGTAGCTGTTACTTTGACAGGAATTTGCCATCATCCTGGGTCACCTCAGTATCCATGAGGACAAACCAGCTTCCATGCCAGGCTCCCAGATGCTTGACTGCCTGGACCACAGGACCCTTGCTTCCCCTGCACTTCAGCCACCCACTGGCATCATCACAATGGGCTGTGTTAGCAAACACTGTGCAGCGCCTGTGCAGTCTCGAACCCAGACATCGAACTTCCTGAGTCCGGATTGGCAACCCTCCAGTTGTCTCACTCTTCACTGGCACTGCTGCTGTTTTTGGTTCTCAAGACAGGGTATTGTCTCTTTTACTGTGTTCCTATCAACCCTCTTCTGTCTTCACTTCTTTTCTCACCTCCTTACTCTCCACAGTGCATGAGGCATCCCTCCTCACTCCCTTCAGTCATGCTCATTAGACAGAACCCAACCGGAATCAGTGCAGCCATCCACCTTCTCCCTCACCTTGACCCACTGTGTGCTGGTGGAGAGAATCACACCGCCAGTTTGCTGCTTGAAGCTCGCAAGGCTACTTCTATTTCAGACACAGCCGATGATCTCACCTCCTGCATTAGAGTGAGGATAAACCCTATGAGAGGAACTCCTCAACTTCTAGGCTCCCACCTAAGATTCCGTTCTGTCACACTAGTGTGTTAGATCCAGTTCTTACTGGCTTGAAAGAGTTTGTTAAATGTTCAGGAATTTTATGAGCCAGTTGTTAAACATGGTTATTACTCAAAATTAAATGAAGACTGGGTGCAGTGACTCATGCCTGTAATCCCAACACTTTAGGAGGCTGAGGTGGGAGGATCGCTTGAGGCCAGAAGTTCTAGACCAGCCTGGGCAACATAGTGAGACTTCATCTCTACTAAAAATAAAAAGTAGCCAGGTGTAGTGGCACACACCTGTATTTCCAGCACTCAGGAGGCTGAGGCAAAAGGATTGCTTGATCCCAAGAGTTTGAGTCTACAGTGAGCCATGATCACGCACGTCTCTGCACTCCAGCCTGGGTGACAGAGTGAGACTCTATCTCAAAAGCAAGACAAAACAAACACAAATGATATAAACTTGCAGTTAAATACATTATATTAAAAATAGTGGTAATAAATACTTAAAACATTCTAGTTCTTAAATTTTACTATTTGTCTAGCTTTCAGGGTTATTTATGTCTATCACAGGGCAACCAACTGTCCCTGTTTGGTCAGGACTGAGGGATTTCCTCAGTGCTAAAAAGTGATAGAGAAAATGTTATTAGTGCAGATTAAACTTAAAAGTGTGTGGCCAGGCACAGTGCCTCACACCTGTAATCCCAGCACTTTGGGAGGCCAAGGTGGGCAGAGCACGAGGTCAGGAGTTCAAGACCAGCCTGGCCAAAATGCTGAAACCCCGTCTCTACTAAAAATACAAAAATTTGCCAGGTGTGGTGGCAGGCACCTGTAGTCCCAGCTACTCAGGAGGCTGAGGCAGAAGAATCCCTTGTGAACCCAGGAGGCGGAGGTTATAGTGAGCCGAGATTGTGCCACTGCACTCCAGCCTGGGCTACAGAGCAAGACTCCATCTCAAAAAAAAAAAAAAATGTGTTAGCTGAGTATGGTGGTGTTACACTTGTAGTCCCAGCTACTTGGGAGGCTGAGGCGGGAAGATTGCTTGAGCCTGGGAGGCAGAGGCTGCAGTGAGCCAAGATGACACCACCACACTCCAACCTGGGCAACAGAGTGAGTCTCAAAATAAATAAATAAAAATAAAAGTGTGCTGCGGGGCCAGGCGCAGGGGCTCATGCCTGTAATCCCACCACTTTGGGAGGATCACTTGAGCCCAGGAGTTCAAGATCAGCCTGGGCAACATAGGGAGATATCATCTTCACAAAAAATCAAAAAATTACCTGGGCGTGGTGGCACGCACACGTGGCCCCAGATATTTGAGAGACTGAGGTGGGAGGATCTCTTGAGCCCAGAAAGTGAAGGCTGCGGTGAGCTGTGATCATGCCACTGCACTCCAGCCTGAGCAGCAGAGTGACTGGACAGCTTTCCAAGATTGAGACCTCCTCTTTTAACCATTCTCTGTGTGTGTGTGTGTGTGTGTGTGTGTGTGTGTGTGTGTGTGTGTAGTCAATTAGATAATGCATGTGAGGAGCTTAGTATAGTGCTTGGCAAAGTAAGGGCTTATTAGCTGTTGTTCTATTTATGGTCTGTAGCTGGTGACTTTCAGTTCTCTCCGCAAGCAGTAGGCCTGTATGTCTATCCAACCACCTGCTTATGTAGCATGTGGCCTTCGCTGTCCCACAGGTGGCTCCAACTCAGCTTGGACCAAACTGAACTCTTCTCCTCAGCTTCCATCCTCAAACCTGGTCCTTCTTTCACGTGTCTTATTATGGTGAATCCCCTCAGCTGCCCGGGTCCCCCAACCTCTCCCATCCAGCAGGTCACCCAGGCCTGCTCATTCTCCTGCCTTGGCAGCTCTTTCCCGTGTCCGTTTCTCCCCATTCCCCACCGCTGCTGCCTTCATTCTGACCATCGGTATCTGTCTCCAGGACTGCTACAGCAGGCTTCTGGCTGAGACCCACGCCTTGAGGATTGCCACCCCCAGTTCATTGCCTATACACTAGCGAGAGGGATCTGTCAATAATACGAACCTGGGCCTGTGCTGATCCAGTTGGAACCCCTAGTGGCTTCCAGGATGCTCCTTATCTTCCTTGAAGTCCTCATGCTGTGGCTTCATCTCCTCCTTTCGTGGGCTCTGCCCCCACCCTCTAGATTCCTTCCCATACCCCATCTTTAGCTCAGAGGCCTTTGCCTATGCTGCTTGTTCTGCATAGAATATCCTTCCCTCCCCTACCTCACCCAACCCCATCCCCTTCACCTAGCAGCTCCCATCTACACTCAGCCAAGGTGATTCTAAGTTCTAGGAAGCAGGCCGGATACGGTGGCTCATGCCTGTAGTCCCACCACTTTGGGAGGCTGAGGCGGGTGGATCACCTGAAATCAGGAGTTTAAGACCAGCCTGACCAACATGGTTAAGCCCTATCTCTACTAAAAATACAAAATTAACCGGGCGTGGTGGCGTGCCTGTAACCCCAGCTACTCAGAAGGCTGAGGCAGGAGAATCGCTTGAACCCGGGAGGTGGAGCTTGCAGTGAGCCGAGATCACACCACTGCACTCCAGCCTGGGCGACAGAGTGAGACTCTGCCTCAAAAAAAAAAAAAAAAAAAAAAAAGTTCTAGGAAGCAGTCTCTGACTTCAGTCCCCGTCCTCCTCGGGTTGGGCTAAGTGCCCCTCCCTTGTGCCCTGGCACTCAGGACTTCCCCTAAGTAAGCACACCTGGCACTCATGGCACGGCACTGGCTCCCCGGCGCCCACCCGAGACCGAGTTCTCAGAGGACAGAGGACGTGTTGTACTTGTGCCGGCCTTCCTAGTACCTAGAAGCATGACGGGTTCCCAGTGGATGTTCGGGAAGTTAAATTATTGTAGGGGTGGTGCTAGAGTACTTACGTTGCCGCTAGACCTACTGGGGGTGAGCAATGAGGGAGTGAAGCGAACAGCGTGTGGACTTGCTGGACTTCTTACCCGTTTGTCTTGTCATCCTCATCCTCACAGCCAGATGAAAACTCGCTGGATTTTTCCTCCTGTATGCTACGGCCTGGGATTAAAAATGCTCAGGAACTTGCCTGTGGAGTGTGCCTCTTGAACGTGGACTCGAGGAGCCGGGTAAGCCACGCAGCCTCGTTGCAGGTGGCAGAGGGCTTCCCTAACGTGACTCGGGATGACCTCATCTGGCCCACTTTACTGCGAAGTTTGTGACCAGAGGTGGGGATTTTCTCAAGTCCTAAAAGCTGATGATAGGAGCAGACACATCCCCTCGTGAGGGCAGCGGGGGAGCTGTGGAGGGAGTGGACGCGGCTCTCATGCCTGCAGCACCCTGTACGTAGTGGGGTGGTCAGGAGGAAAGGGTGAACCTGTAAGGATGTGTTTGGAGGCAAGAGGCCCTGTTCTGGGAATGTTGTTGACCTGTGGTTTCAACGTTATTTCAGAAAGAAGAGAAGCCTGCAGAAGAACATCCTAAAAAAGTATGAACCAGTTACACCTTATCTTAGCGTCTCCATTTTAATTTTGAGTGTGGAGGGCAAATTGGATGAATCCATCCATTGCATCCTGAACTGTTCCAGTCATGAATCCTTCACTGAGTCAGTCTGGTTCCCATAATGTTTGATTGAGTCTACCAATGTGTCTGTGTGGCTCCACTTCTGTCTTATTTGCATGCTTGTTTCTCATAATTGGCTTCTGGTGTTGCAGTTATTTTTCTCTGTGATGAATGGGGTGACAGAACGAGCAACTTCTGGAAGCCTGGAAGGTGTAGTGACACACAGAAGGAGATCAAAGAGCTTATTCAGGATGTAGCCATTTAGCCATATTTTAACAGACAAGCCACAAGTTGGGTTTCAGAGTTTTGTTTATATGCAGTGCATTAGAACACTAAGCCCAGGACGCGGCTGAGGTTTGGACTACTTTTCCATGGCTGACTGTAGCTTACCGATAAGCCTACTCATCTGGAAATAATTCTTATGTGTTTAATGCCCATTCATTTCGAGGCATTTTTTTTTTTAACTCTATACCTGTTTGGACTTTTAGATGATGTAGATTCAGTTATTCGCTCCCAATGCCATTAGACCCTAAGAGTTAACTGCCGTTCTCTGACTCTCTCGTTCTCTAACTCTTGCAATTTTTTGTCATGATAGGCTTGTGGTCATTTGCAGAAGTGTAAAGGATTGCATGCCGTAGTCAGATGCTAGCCTTAGGAGGAGGGCTTCCTTCAGCACAGTGAGGGATCCAAGCTATCCACAGCCCTCGGCTACTTTAGTTCCCCTTATGATTCCCCCGCTCCGCCCCATAACCTCTGTCTGCCTTTTCCATGGAAGATTTGGCCGCCTTCTCCCGAAACTAGGTTTAGTGGTAACAATTTGATAGCTTTAATTAGCAGTAAAAAACCTTCTCTCTTAAATTCCTGTAGCTACCCACTCAGCTTTTGTGTGTGCCATTTTGGCCTCAGCCTCTGTGACCTGGAGAGATGTACATGTTGGTTTCTGAAAAGCTCTGAGATGCAGAAAAAGCCTGACTTGTCCCACATCTCTGTTTATTTCTGGCAGGCATTCAACTCAGAAACAGACAGTTTCAAGCTGGCCTACGGAGGGCACCAGTATCACGCCAGCTGTGCCAACTTCTGGATCAACTGTGTCGAACCAAAGCCTCCTGGCCTTGTCCTGCCTGACCTGCTCTGAACAACTCCTCTGTGAAGCACTGACTCTTTTTTTTTCTGTGACACCCCACGGGGTGACAGGGACCAATCAGTAGAATGCGAGTGCTGCACAGTTCACTTCCCTGAATTGATATGAAGAACACCGCAAGTGACGGGGCCCCCGTCACCCCCACGGCCAGTCTGCGGGGCTTCAGGTAAAATCGTCCCACTCAAGCGGCACGTGGCGCCAGAAGCTTGCTCACTTCTCTCTACTTTTCTTAAGGTTTTCTAAAATACAGACCACAGCTTTCTGGATCTAAGGAAGAACTTGCTGCTGCAGTATTGAAACTGTGAAGAACTGACATTTTTGAAGAAAAATAAACTACTGTTGCGGGACTAGAATGGGCAGCTGCTTGGAGCCAGTGCTTGTTTTTACCCAGAACACTTACTGTCCTGTGAAGTAGAGTGCATTTATTTGCATTTAGTTTGTTAATGTCTGAAATGAATAAAAAGAGGAAATTACGATTAAACTGATGTTCTGCTTTTTATGGAGAAGATTCTGCCCGTCTGCCCTGGACAGTAGCAGGCAGGTGAGGGCAGATTTTACCCACTTGGCTGTCACAACTGAACCAGTTCTCTACTCCTTCCCTTCATTGCTGTCAACGCTCAAGACTTTTTCCCAAAACATGCCTGCAGTCCTGAAGAATGCTCATTTTCACACAGGCCCAGATCCTGTGTATCAGGAGAATATCCTTCCCTGCAGGAGCCTGCACTGCAAACCTGTTTTGCCGCATGCAAAGACTGTGACCGTGGAGTTTTCTCAGACAAGATTTGTAAAGGCAGTGGAATGAAATCTCTTGGCAGTGGCCGCTCTCCACATTTCCAAAGATGACTACATAGGGACCAACACTGCCTGACTTCGCAGTATCTGTGAGAAAAACCTGAAAATTAATTCAGGGTGAAAATGTGGAGTTCTTGGCCTAGTGTAAAGTATCAAGATGTATATTTATGGGATAGATACATGACTTAGAAGAAAATTGTCCAGAAATAGTACTGAGTTTTAGATGGAAAAGACTCGTGCTTCCTGGAGTAGGGAATTTTCTTTGCCATTTAATCTGAATGCATAAAATTAGGGGGAAAAACTCAAGTGGCTAAGAGCTGTTATTCCTAGGAAGAACGTACCAATCTAGGGCACACGTCTCTCTGAATTGTTGATTATGCGCTTTATGAAGAGATTTTTCAATCTCATGTGCTTTACTTTGTGCGGTTTAGGCCCTCCGACCTAGACTTTTATTTTTAAACCGACAAAGTTAGTCTTGTCTATAATTGCTGCTTTTACATAATTTATTTTCCCTTCTCAGAACAAATTCTATCTTGGTCCGTCTTATAGCTTTTCCATGTTCTCCAAGAAAGGTGTGGAACATTTTCATTAAACAGCTGTTGCTGAGGCTCCTGCTTGACCTTCTGCACGCCCGAATGCAGAGAGAGGCACCGAGGAGAGAAAGGCTTTTCACTCGCTCCCGATGATACCGTCTCTGGCCGTTCCTGACTGAGACAGCTCACTCGGAATTGGTACCTTTGGGGCTTTTGCCCACCACAAGGCTAATGGGGTGTTTCTAACAACACAGGTGGGACAGCTTGTGGCAGGCTTTTCCTGAGGCCTCGGTGCTTTCATCCTGGGCAGCACCAGGTCCACATGGAGCTGGAATGCAAGCAGGCTTCTAATTGGTCTTAAAAATTTCTTTTTTTTTTTTGAGACGGAGTTTCACTCTTGTTACCCAGGCTGGAGTGCAATAGCACAATCTCAGCTCACTGCAACCTCTGCCTCCCGAGTTCAAGCGATTCTCCTACCTCAGCCCCACGAGTAGCTGGGATTACAGACATGCGCCACCACACCCGGCTAATTTTGTATTTTTAGTAGACACAGGGTTTCTCCATGTTGGTCACGCTCGAACTCCCAACCTCAGGTGATCCGCCTGCCTCAGCCTCCCAAAGTACTGGGATTACATGCATGAGCCACCGCGCCTGGCCTAAATTTCATAACAGAACCATGACAGCAGAATCTACCTTTGCAATAAGAATGTTTCCCAGGAGTTAGAGACCAGCCCTGGGCAAGATGGCAAGACCCCAGCTAATTATACAAAAAATAATTAGCCAGGCATGGTGGAGTGCATCTGTGGACATTTGTGGTCCCAGCTACTAGGGAGGCTGAGGCAGGAGGATCACATGAGTCCAGGAGTCTGACAGTGACTGTTAAAAATTTCTTTCTTTTTTACAACAGCCTGGGTGATAAGAGAGAGACTGTGTCTCTTAAAAAAAAAAAAAAATAGTAAGTTTCCCAATTTGAAATGTTGCTGAGACATTTTTTTTGAAATGCTGTGTAGATGCCTATCATGTCACAGTGGCCCAGTATCGACATTTTAAAAAGCAAGCTTGTTAGCTGGGCTGGTTTCTATTCCTGAGAAATTCCAGAATGCCTCAGATACAATTCCTTAGTATAATTCCCACTTTCCTTACCAAGAGCGATAGGCTTAGTCACTCCGTGGGAGGTGCCACAGGAAAATTCAGCAGACGTCAACAGAAAAAAAGCCTTTGCTATGAAAAGTATTCACTACCTTTCATATCTCTTGAATACTTGAAATGTTTAATTAGATGCCACCAATAGGGATCCAAGGAGTGTGGGACACCGTTGCGCTGCTTTTCTTTATAAACATTTATTATAATGACTCAACACTGCATTCAGCTTCACCTCAGCTCTTCCTGTTAGCCAGGAGCCCTGTGTCCTTGGAAACCGTAACCAAGGTTACTTATTTCCATACTGTGTATTGTGTCAGCCCGCTTCACCCCACTGCTTGAATGGCGATTAATAGCACTTTTCTTTTTTTGGTGGGATGTTTTGCCTTTAAAATTTTTATGGCTTAGTGTGTAATTTCATTTTTGTCTGGACATGCTTGAGATAGAAGAGGTGTTGGATATATTAGGATATTTTCCATGCTTTATTTTTCCTGTGGCTACTAGTTAGCATTTCATAGGGGTTGTGAATTTTTGATTATTTGAATATTTTGTGTACATACACATATTTGAAGGGTTTTGGGGGTCTTATTTGTTTAAAGGTGTCTTCTGTTTGCCTGTTTAATGTGTACTTCAGCTTTGCAAAGATTATAGGGCTGTATGTTTCAGAAATAGGAGATGCTGGCCCTGTACTGGGGACCACTACAAAAATTCCCCTGAACACCTTCGAGGTCAAATGCCTGCCTTTGTGAACAGTTCATAAACTGACATTTTCAGTCATCTGCCATTCAGAAGGGAGCACTGTAGCCTGCTGTAGACCATTCCAGCAAATGTCAGAATGCAGGGCAAGATGTGTGTCGACTGTGTTTTTTAAGTTTAAATTACTTATTTCTTCAGGTGAGTGTGCACCAAATAATACTGAAAGGCCCGCCCCTTGCAAGGCCGAGGAAATAAAGCCTAAGTGAAACAGCTCTTGGGGGGAAAAATGCCACTTTACGAATACTTTTCTAACAAAATAGCATTATAATGAAGTTTTTACTTAATTCCATTATTTATATGTTGATGTGAATATAAGTGGTTAAAAAAGTATTCTTGTGGGACATCTCATTACTTTATAGCTGTGGCGTTATTAACCAGTGAATGCTGTGGTCCGTAGCAAAATGCGTTGCCTTCTGTGTGATGTGGAATTCAGGCCTGTAATTTTAAAAGATGGTGTGGTTTTTCCCTTGTTCGTATTTTAATAAACAACTGCTCTAATTGATACGTTTAGATATTATAAAACTTTACCTTTAAAATATTTTCAAGGTCTGTTCTGAAATCACCCACTGTTAAGCTTCCCTCACCAAAATACAAGTGTAGAAGAATGTCAGGCTACTAGACCTTTTCTTGGTCTTGTCTTTGTTGGGTTGATTTCACGTAGATGCAAGTCACGAGGATGAACAGGGGCCCACGCACTTAAGATTACAAAGGTGTTCAGCTTCCTGTGTGCGAAGAACTCTTAGTCACAGCCCCGCAGTGCTGCTTGCCAGGAATTCTACAGGTGATTTTCATTAATTATGAAAAACATCGGTCACCAGGTGTCTTCTCGCCCTAGGACAATGGTTATTTGGGGGCTCTTATTCAGAAACTCCAGACTGAAAGCTCAGCCTCATACTAAAGCAGCCAGAGCCTCCCTGGATTATTTGTTTGTTTGTTTGTTTTTGATCTTACAGCATTTGTTGGTTCCTCTGATTTCTCATAGAAACTATTAATTTTTTTCCTTTTAATTTTTCTAGAGAATAATGATGCATGTTTATAACAGTGGGCAGCCAGGGGTATAAAGCAATAAAAGGTAGAACTTAGATGGAAAAAACCATTGCCACAAACCAGGTAAAATGTTTTGTGGATATTTGTCTAAGTATGTAGCTACTGGCCTATGTATGGCTTCCTGCCAGAACGGACCCAAAAAATCTAGAAAACGATTCCTCTGGTGCGCAAGCTACAACGTCCCTGACAAATGAGGCCAAAAAGCAGGGCTGCGACCGGTTCCCATCGCATGGGCAGACTCCCAGGAGGCCCTCCATCCAGAAGGCAGGCACGCCCTAGGACAGTGGTTATTTGGGGGCATGTGGAAAGCTTTCGCCCAGTTGTGTCCCAGGAGTGGGACAGAGGCGAGCTCATTCACCTTCTACCGTGTACCTGATGAGCGGTGCCGCCCATTTTATCAGGAGCAGTGACCTGGGTGACATTTCCAAAGTTAAAGGCAGCCATTTTTTATTATTTGCTTATCGCTTATACTGAGGTTTGGTTTAGGGCATTTTCGTAGGTAGTAATAGTTGAGCAGAGGCACCTTTTATTGAAAACCAGTTTCTCTGATGGAGGACATGTTGCTTTGGGGTGCTCCACTAACCAAGAGGAAACCAAAACCAGCACCCCTGATCAGAGCGTGCACTCTTATCTATCTCCCACCGCCCAGCACTGGGGACAGTGTGTCTGCCACCCACCAGGATGTGATGTGCCGACGGGACGCTGCTGGGATGTGTATTTTAAGTGGTGTTCACAACTGTCATAAGAGCCATATTTTAGCAGTTACTGGAGAGCACCTTTTTTTCCATCGACACACACACATATCCTGAAATTATTAGTAAAAATTCTAATGTTAAGCATATAGATTTATTAAAAATAATGCTAATATAATCCTGGGCACATGGATTCCAAGAGTTTTTGCAGCAGATTTCATTATAATTACTTAACAGCTAAATAATAAGGGTGTATTTAACTTACAGAGTCACTAAATAATAGAGGGGAAAGGAAAGAGTAGGGCTAATCCAGTAGAGACTGAAGCTGGTATCAACCTTCCCTAAGCATCTGTCTGGTCAGCAGCCTGGGGCGAAGCTTGTCTCTAAAGGGTTAATGAGGCCCCAAAGTGATTTTTGCACTGAGCTCCTCCTGCACCTACCAAGGTGCCAAAGGCATGAGATTCAGAAGAGAGCAGAACCAAACAGTTTATTAAACTGTTCAAATTGATAAAAATGATTAAAAGCTAAAGATTTTCATAAACACTATTCCAAAATGTTAATTTTAAAAATGTGACTAGCAATGTATGCATTCCCTTTATGTCCCCTCCCTCCCTCTCTCTTAAAATAAATTTGAACACCCAGTGTAAAAAACACTTGAGGGAGAACCAGAAGTCAGCCATTTGAGAAGACAGTGGAGAGGGAGCAGACGGCGGGGAGCAGACACCGGTCCCACTCGGGCTGCTGACGCAGGCTTCGGTGGCACTAAATCCCCCAGTAAGGCATCAGGTGTCGGGACTCCTTCTCATAGACGTCGGGAACTATGCCGTAAGGTGTCTGTACCATTTTAACTGTCGACTTCCCAAAGAGCTGGCGCTCGTAGTCTATCAGCTGCCTCCAGAAGCCTACGTTGGGCCTGATGACAGGTCGCCGGGCTTTCACCCAGTTGTACGCCTCCAGCAGGCACACGTTGTGGAATTTCATCAGGTAGGCGATACAGAGCGTGGCTGAGCGGCTCACCCCGGCAGCACAGTGCACCAGGGTGGCCCCGTGCTTCCTGCTCACACTGTGGATCTTGTCAGCCACGGTGTCAAAGTACAGTCCAATGGGGGCGTGCGGCATGTCAGCCAGAGGCACTTTAACATACTCAAATTGGGGCCAGTTGAAATTAGGGATCTCAATGGTAGCATTAACAATGCAGGTGATGCCACGAGCCTGGAGGAGGTGCCGATTGGAGGCCACACTGCCTCTGCCCAGGAATAGAGAGGAGGTGATTTGAGCAATGCCTCCTAAGTCTCCCTCGGAAATCATCCGAGGGGCCATGAGAGTCCTTGGTAGCGTGCTGTGACCTCTGGAGCTCATGAAGACGCCAGCAGTCACACTTGCATCGTTGGGGGCAAGACCAGAGTGTTTGATTTTCCTCCAC